TATCGAAAAATCCAAACGTGCACAATGTACTTTGAAAATTTTCGTGTCGATGCAATTGACTTAATAAAATCAAATAAATTTCTAAATGAAATCAATAAAATTGATTTAAAAATTGCAATGTACATATATATATATATAAATGATAATGTTGGTCCTCACAACCTTCCCTCCTTAGAAAAATTTCATTCTCGAAATTCATACCTGAACTAGAGAATAACTCGGGGTATTTCCTCTGAACTTCCTCCTCAATTTTCCACGTAACTTCTTCGACTCCATGATTTCTCCACAAGATCTTCACTATCGGAATTTGCTTGTTTCTTAATTCCTTCACTTTCCAGTCCAAAAGCTTCACGGGTTTCTCCTCGTAAGTCAGAGACTCATCAATTTCTAGATTCTCCGGTTGAAGTATGTGGGACGGGTCAGGGTGATACTTCTTAAGAAACGACACATGGAACACATTGTGAATACGGGATAAGCTCGCTGGTAAATCCAACTTATAAGATACATTTTCAACTCGTTGCAGAATGGTGTACAGTCCCACAAATTTCGGTTGTAATTTTTTCCCTTTTCTCGCCATCAAACTCGTCTTTAGAGGTGTAATCTTAAGGAATATTTGATCTCCAATTTCGAATTCCAAGTCTTTCCTTCTATTGTCAGCATAACTCTTCTGGAGACTTTGGGTGGTTAGAATCCTTTGTCGAATCAACTTGACCTTTTCTCACGATCGAATCTAAGACCTTCTTCTCTCCTATTTCATCTCAATAAATCGGCGACCGATACTTACGGCCATAAAGAGCCTCGTATGGAGCTATTCGTATAGAAGAATGAAAACTGGTATTGTAGGCGAATTCTACTAAGGTCAAATATTGGTTCCAATTAACTCCAAAATCCAGAATACAAGACCTCAACATATCCTCGAGAGTCTGAATTATCCTTTCCGATTGCCCATCTGTTTAAAGATGATAAGTGGTGCTGAGGTTCAACTTGGTACATAATGTCTCTTGCATTCTTTACCAAAATCGAGAAACAAAGCGTAGGTCACAATCCGACACTATGCTCACAGGAATTCCATACAACCTTATAATTTCATCCACATATAACTTTGCTAGTTTTTTCATTGAATATTTCATACTAATGGGCAAGAAGTGTGCAAATTTAGTTAATCGATCTACTATGACCCAAATCGCGTCATTTCCTCTTTGCGTCCTTGGCAATTATAGTACAAAATTCATGGTAATATTTTTCCATTTTCACACGGGCACCTCTAACGATTGCAATAAATTAGAAGGCTTCTGATGCTCTCTAACATACTAGATATGTCTGAACGAACCGGGCAATTTCTCTTTTCATGCATTCCCACCAATAGAGATTTTTCATATCTTGGTACATTTTATTCCCTCCAGAGTGTACCGTATACTTAGAACGATGGGTTTCCTCTAATATTTCTCTTTTGAGATCCTCATCTTTCGATACCACCAGTCGATTTCGATACCTAAGAATTCCTTCGACTCTAATATTAAAGTCTGAAAACTCCTCTTTCTGAGCTTTCTCCAACCATTTCTGTATTTTTGGATCCTTCTTTTGTACTTCCTTAATCTTATCCAATAGAGTAGACCTTAATACAATATTTTCCAAAACAACTTTCGTGGACTGCAGACGAGGATTCCAAACACTAATTTCCTCTAGCATGTGCCATTCATTTACTATCAATCCTGCTATTTGTACTTACAACTCAAATCATCCGCTACTACATTAACTTTTTCCGGATGATAATTAATTGTGTAATTATAGTCCTCCAATTCCACTAACCTACGCTGTCTTAAATTCAACTCCTTCTAAGAAAACAAATACTTAAGACTCTTGTGGTCGGTAAAAATCTCAAATGTCACCCCATATAGGAAATATCTCAATTTACGTAATGCAAATATTACGGCGACTAACTCCAAGTCATGAGTTGGATAATTCTGCTCATGAGGTTTCAACTTTCGCGACACATAGGCTATAACTTGTTCATTCTTCATCAACACACAACCTAGACCTTCTTTCGATGCGTCTGTGAATACCACATAACCATCATTTTCATTAGGTAGAGCCAAAACTAGTGCCTCAGTCAATCGTCTCTTTAACTCCTGAAAACTCCTTTCACACTTAGCGTTCCATATGAACTTGCCATGCTTCTTGATCAATTCAGTCATAGGTCCCGCTATCTTGGAGAAATCCTTAATGAAACGACGGTAGTAACCAACTAAACCCAAGAAACTTCGAAACCTCCGTTGAATTCTCAAGTTGTTTCCAATTTGACATCATTTCCACCTTAGTCGGCTCCACAGCGATTCCATCCTTAGAGATAATATGACCCAAAAATGTTATTTCTTCCAGCCAAAATTTACACTTACTAAACTTCGCAAACAATTGATGCTTTCTTAGGATTTGCAATACTATCCTCAAATGTCGTTCATGATCCTCCCGAGTTTTAGAATATACTAGGATATTATCGATGAACACCACTACGAACTGATCTAAATATGGTTTCAAGACTCAATGCATTAAATCCATAAATGTAGCAGGTGCGTTAGTCAGCCCGAAAGGCATCACGGCAAATTCAAAATGCCCGTACTTCGAATTAAAAGCTATCTTAGGTATGTCCTCCACTTGGATCCTCAATTGATAGTAACCCTGTTTAAGATCCAACTTAGAGTATACTATAGCTCCCTGCAGCTGATCGAAAAACTCATCGATGTGCGGTAGAGGGTACTTATTCTTAATGGTGACGTTATTCAAGTCTCGATAATCTATACACAACCTTAAACTTCCGTCTTTCTTCTTAACAAACAACACTGGCGCACCCCAAGATGAATCACTTTCCTTGATAAATTCTCGTTCCAATAAATCTTGCAATTGAAGTTTCAATTCTCTCAGTTCAGTTGGCGCCATCCTATAAGGTGTCTTGGAAATAGGTGTTGTTCCTTGAGTCACATTAATTTTAAAAGTTATTTCTCACTTGGGCGGTAAGGATTCTAATTCCTTAGAAAAAACGTCAGGGAATTCTCTCACCACTGGCACGTCTTCTAATTTTACCTTATCTCCTGTAGTATTGATCAGAAAAGCTAAGAATCCTTTTGCTCCCTTACTCAGCAATTTCCTAACTCTAATCCCCGAAATAAGAGTTGAAGATGCAAATCTACCTCATACATCTAATCTTAAAGTCAGCTCACCAGGCAAATGCAATTCCACTTTTTTTGTCTTACAATCAAGTTGGGCATGATAATGAGCTAACCAATCCATCCTTAAGATAATATCATAACCCTTAATTTCTAAACACATGAGGTTTGCTAACAGCTTCCGCTCACCAACCCAGACATCACAATTCCTATAAACTCAACTAGATAACAACCTCTGATTTCCAGTAGGCGTATTAACCTCTAAATCATATGGTTGTCTCTCAAACTTAACATCTACACCTTTCATAAATATAGGATTGACAAAGGAATGGGTTGCCCCGAGATCAATAAAACCTTAGCTAGACGATGGAATATCGGAATCGTACCTTCAATAACTTTCGTAGGTTCAGGGGCCTGATAATGATCCAAAACATAGACTCTAGCAGGCACCCTCGGGCGATTATCCCCCACGCTTGACTATTTGGAAGTCTGCCTAGCAGACTGTTGCGAACCACCTCCTGCCTGACGAGCCATCGGACAATTGGCAATCTGATGTTCGGCATTCCCACAACTTAAACACTTCCCCACTTTTCTCCAGCAGTCATCCGCCGTGTGGTTTGACTTTTCACAATATCCACATCCCATTTGAGACGTCGATACCGAACTTTCTTGTGAGGTAACCCTAGACTGGCCACGCCCACTAGCTGCTCTTCTAGCCAAAGATCCCCTTGCAGCTCCAGCTGATTTTACTCCTCCCATGCCCCTTCCAACCTTTGGGGCTGGCGCATTCTTATCCAGCTGCCCTACACCACTGTTACTTAGGGCATTCCTCTTCTTAGCATGAAAAGCCTTCACCTGAAGTTTAGCACTCTCCACTCTTTGGGCCTTTTCCAAGGCCTTCCACATTGATCCCTTGTATGAACCGTCTTATTCTTTTTCAGTCCGTGGCCACTAACTCAGGTGTAAACTTGGAGAGTTTCGTGAATTGGGTCTCATAGTCGGCCACACTCATAGATCCCTGCCTCAGTCTAACAAAATTCTCATCTCTTTTCTCTTAGACTATTGGAGGCAGAAACTTCTCGTCAAACTTCCTCTTGAAATTTGCGTGAGTCCATGGGGTCTGCTCTCTTTTCTATATAGCTCTAATGACATTCCACCAAGACCTAGCCGTGCCCTCAAATTGGAAGATAGCGAAAATCACTCGCCTTCCCTCCGAGTAGTTCAATGCGGCAAGGATATCGGTCATCCTTTCGAACCAACTCTCCGCCACATCCGAGTCAACTCCTCTCAGGAACTTGGGTGGCGCAAACTTAAGAAAACGTTCCAGAGATGATCAGGGCCTATAGGCTGATTTTGCTGACCAAGTCCTTGATGGTCAGCCAGACATTCAAGGATATCAGTCATCCTATTGATAGCGGTAGCCACTTGGTCCTTATTTTCACCTTTCGATCCCCTTTCCAAGACTGCCCCGGAAGACCAAATACTCTCAGAGGGTTGGGGTGGTCTACGCTCGCGCCCCCGACCTTGACCTCACGTATCCATAGTGTTAATTATATATAAATGCAAGAATAGAAGCAATTACACGAGAGAATACTTAAAGACAAAAGTCAATATGGGAAACATTTATAATAACAATAATTGGCATATATTAACATTTCAAGGATCGTACATAATCAACAAATCATGGAGCATTTACAAAAACATAGCACACATGTGCCACAAAAGTACAATCAGTCATGCAGCAAAAGTCATAAACTTTACAAGCATCACCCCAACTAATCCCAACTACAAAAGAGTCAAGATTCAACATTCCTAACCTAGTTTATAGCAGAACCGCTAGTTTAGACCTCCTCTTCTGGGTCCTCCTTAAAAGGCTCCTCCTCAGAAGTGTCCTCATGAGTCGAGCTCTCGACTCCACCTACCACCCCATCTATCAGCATGGTGGTGTCAGCTAAAATCCCAGCGGCCCGCTCCTGGACCTTATCAACTTCCCTAACTAGTCGAGCCCTAGTCCTCTGAACCTGGTCATGAGCGGCCTCAACTCTAACCTGCTCATCGATCACTGTCCCCTCAAGCTCTAAGATCCTAGCACCCTGATCCTCCACCATAGCTCTTAACTCCTCAATCTCCTCAAGTAGTGTCCTATTAGTAATCACTAACTGTCGGCGCTCATCATTAATAGACAGTACTAGATCATTAGGGTAGGAATGCGTCTCCCTACAGGGACAAAGAGGGAACCTAGAGAAAGGTGAGTATCGAACACAAGGTCCTCCACCAAGTACTTGATATCGGATAGGTCTAAGAGATTCCACATGACCGTTAGCATCTCCGTTACCATTAGCCGCATGACCTCCATTACCGTTCTTCATTCCTACAAAACAACCACAAAACTCAAGGTTAGAAACTTAAATTCACTAATTCACTCAAACATCAACTTAAGGCATAACTAAGTTATCTCATTCCTATTCTCAAGAGTAAAGCCTCTAAAACATCTCCCAAATAGATCTCTAAACCTAGACTCTGATAGCAACTGTGGCGCCCCACTTCTCCCTAGGGCAAACCCAAGAGTATCGGCGGAACCCCTGCCTAACTCTCGCCAGAAATCACTACAAAATCCGAAATATAAATACAAGCATTCACTCTTAAACCATAGATGGAGTTTATTATATCCACCAGTCAAACTTACATAAGTACAAACCCAATACTTCCATCCAAATTACAATAGTAAATCACAAGTACAATAATCCATAAGGTTCACAGATCAAATCATTCTTATACAAAATAGCGAAAATCCTACAAAGAAACTAAGTTCCTCGAGTATGGAACTCCGCTTCAAAACCTGTTAAGAAAAATAAACTTATGGGGTGAGCAAAGCTCAGTGAGGTCAAGAAAACCATGCAAGCAAACAAGTTCATATCAAAGCCAATTTCACAAGACAAGAATGTTAACAACGATTCCATGTGCAAGTTCAAGTACGGAGAATAAATCACACATCGAGTAAGGATACGGGAGCTCTGAGGAGCTATTCCACAGCTTGATCATGAGTTTAACATTGAGTTGACACTCCATCAACATAACAAGATTAGTCCGTAGACACCACTTACAATATTCTCCGTCTACCGTTTCACCCCTTGTATTGGGCCCGCTCGTCAAACAAGCAAGTTGGCAATATTCGAGTATATCTAGTCGGCGAACGCATCCCAACCGACGAAAACAAGTCAAGACCCAAGACTTGCCAATCCCTCAGCCGAGCCCTTACCGGCCCGAAGTGAAAGGTTTACCGATAAGTTTTGGGTGTCCCCAACATGTTCAAGTATCAAATAGGATAATGAGACAACACTCCATCATCAATCAAGTACAAGTACAAGTTCATTATTTAAGTTCAAGCAAGCAAGTTCGAGACAAGTATAAGAGATAGGACGAGATAAAGTACACGCCCACCTTAATAATTTCAATACATGTATCTAGTTCAAGCACGTAGTACAAGCAAGATAGTAACATGAGAGTTAAATTTTGGTAGGTTCTTCCTCAGCAAGATCTTGGTCACTTGAGCCAAAGTTAATCATCAATCGCTAACTAATCGACTCAACTCAAGAACTCAACTCAATCACTTAAAATCTTCCAAGGTCGGACTGCCACTAGTTCTTGTTTGGACCAAATCTGAGGCTACACTCATCAGAATTAGGCAAAGGCTATGGCTATGGAAACTAACCTCAGAGTACTACAATTCCCGAGAAGAGCTCAATCCAAGATTCATTGAGTAAAATAGGCTAAATTGAGCCACAAGTCACCAAAATGAGCAAAAGACATGAAAACAGCTTGGTAAAACAGTCATTTTTACAAAATTTATGGTATTTATAGGAAATGAGTTAGCATGCGAGCCATACACCATTGGAAAGCCCTTGAAGTCTAGTTTCAAACGCCACTAACGACGCTCAATTTTGACTCCCGACCAAAGAGATATGGCCGATAGAGTAAAGGGTGTAAAGCTATCCTTTCACTACGTTTTTCCAGTTTTGAAGAGCAATCTTTGGGGCATCATTTGGGCATCGAAATGGTATTGTAATTATGCCAAATTCAGTACACTTAAACTTCAATATATGGACTACCTCTCTACCAAAATTTAGGCAAAAACTCGCATGGGAAGGCAGTTAACAAAATGACCAAAGTTTGTGAAATTCTTCTAAGCAAATCTGCCAACCCTATCATTCTTTCTTTTCCAAAAGTTTTGTCCAACGAAATCAGCCCCAATTCACTCCATTTTTTAAACCAAGATTCTAGCAACATTTCTTGAGCAATTGATGGTTTAATAGAACCAAAATTTTCAGAATAAAACACCCGAAAACAGATTTGACCATTTGGTCAGCACCTCCCTCTCTTCTCTCGAGTTCTCTCTTTCTTTTCCTTTTCTAGTTTCTAACATCAAAACTCATCACAAACACACTAACACACATAAGCATCATGGCAGCCCTCATTTAACCAAGGTGAAAGTTCATATGACCCACTTCAACCAACCAAATCCAACCAACAACAACAAGAAGGAAGCTACAAGCTTCAAAGCCAAGAAATGAAGCAAGAAAGCAAGAGCTTTGTGAGAGATTTTTATACCTTCCAAAAACAAGAGAAAACCCTAGATTTTTGGTGTGAGAAGCTCCCCAAGACAGCCCCAAACAGCCGGCCCTCTCTCCTCTCCAAGATGGTCCTCAAGTTCAAAGTTAAGCTAGCAAGGAGTTGAGCAAGTTCTCTTGGTGATTTTAGATGGAGGAGGAAGAAAAAATTTGGGAGCAAAATGAAGAAGGAAATGAGCAAGAAGAGTTCGGCCAAATGGAGAGAGAAAAGGAGGGAAGAGTTTGAGTGATGTAAGCTTTTCACTTTGGGGTATTGATGGGAAATAAAGTATGAAAGAAGAGAGAGACATTTGATTGACATAAAGTAACTTTTCGTCGCGTCGGAGAAGATTCGCGGGACGAAACACTACAATCCTAGTTTCTCTCACTTATATACCTCAAATACATGTCCTAACACTCGAAACTTATGTCTAAAAGTCGACCCTTGTGACGCCCCCACTTCTCCCAAAGGCGAACCCGAGGGTGTTCGTGGGACACCTGCCTAACTCTCGCCAGGACTCGGTATAATTTCAATTCAAACTTATGAATAACCAATCGATACTAAAAACCAAAGATACAAAGGAAGGTCAATTCCTTAATAATTGTTCAAATCCTACATCATAAGTTACCAAAATATTGAACCATCCTAAAATTTACAGCTTCCAAAAATTGTCTAAATGAATACATTCAAACTTCTAATCAAAGGCCATCAAGTTGACCTCTCCATAATTCCTTCTATTTCAGCTCCTGTTAAAGAAAGCAAGTCTAACGGGGTGAGCGGATGCTCGTGAGGCCAAGAAAAGAAAAAAAAACATGCAAGCAGGTAATTCAAATAACAATAAAACTGACATGAGAGATAAAGCAATAACATACAAGTAAATCCCGAATATTTACAAGATACATTCCAGAAGGGTACGGGAGCTTTTAGGAGCTCACTTCCATTTGTTTTACCAAAGTTCCATCCAATAGTCCGTAGAATTTTACTTATTCCATTTATGATTCTGAGTCGAATGAGAGGTACCTCCCATCCGAATCAGTGTGGTACATACTATCGCTCAGTGGTCGATTATATGTTTATGGTCCTGAGTCGAATGAGAGGTACCTCCCACCTGAATTGGTGTGGTACATACTATCGCTCAGTGGTCGATGAGACATCGCTCCAATCGACTTATGCTTTGCTCATAGTTCTGAGCCGAATGAGAGGTACCTCCCACCCAAATTGGTGTGGTACATACTATTGCTCAGTGGTCGATGAGACATCGCTCCAATTGACTTATGCTTTGTTTATGATTCTGAGTCGACATGAGAGGTACCTCCCACTCGAACCGGTGTGGTACATGCTATCGCTTAGAGAATCGATTTTAGCACTGAGACGGAATGAGAGGCACCTCCCACCTAAATTGGTGTGGTGCATGCTTCCGCTCAGGGCTCACAAGTTAAACATGTTCATATACAATTACTAATCATATGTATTCATGTAACAAGTATCACGTAATTAGAAGAGAGGGAACTAGGACGTCCCAACGAGTAGGATTGGTCGAGGAGACAACGCTCCAATCGACGTCAAGTCATGTACAAGTATAGTTTCAATCATGAGTAAGTCGAGTACTAGTCAGGCAAATCGAGTAACAAGTCAAGTAAGTAGAGTAACACGTCAAGTAAAGAAAGCGAGTGGGATAAAGTACGCACACTCGTCTCGACAAGTTAAATTCAAGTATTGAATTAGATACTTTTCAAATATATAGGAACTAGTCATGCACTTGACACTCACCAAGCAACAAGAGCAAGTAGGTTCAATTTGAAGTTCAAGCGTCCTCCGTCGGATCCTCTTGAAGGTCCTCGTGTGCGCCTGAACAAATAGTAATAGTCTATTATTCACAATCCCTACTATTGAAGAAGATCGTATCATAGTACAATTTTAGGAAAATCTCGTGAAACGAGCCTTAATTATCCTAAATCGAGACTCTCAAGCGGGGTTTCAAAGTACAAGAGAAATTAAGTCTACATCATGGAAATCAAGGATAAAACATTTGAATAATATCGAAGGAATAAGGAGTACTTGAAAAACTCCATTTCATTGGAATTCGAAAAATTTCTGTTTTGATATGAATCTTTGAAAAATCGTATCTCACTCTTTGTAACTCCAAAATTGGAAAACTTGATACCGTTGGAAACCTCTTTCAAAGTACTAAAAGTTCGTAGAAGACACTTTTCCATGAATCTAAGTGGAAGGCATTCAAAAATGGATTTAAATTTACAGTTTCAGGTTAGTTAGGGTTGAGCCAGGGTTGGTTTTTTTTTCGTTAATTTTGGAAATTCGGTAAAATTCATACATTGCAAACCAGCCTCGAAAATTTATAACTCATTTAGAGTTGCAAGTAAAGTTTAGGACAAAACAAGCGGATCAAGAATCGGAGTTTTGAGCACCGAGATACGGTCGCTCAAATTTGGAGGAAAAACGAAACTGTTAAGCTAGTTTCCAGATTTGAGTTCCAAACTTTGGGACTTTAGTTTGGTAGCAAAATGGACTCGAAAGGGCACCAAATTTGGTATGAATATACTACCATATAAGGACCACTCCATTTCCAAATTTCATAGAAAAATAATAACGGGAAGTCGGTTAACAAAACCGTTGAAATCGCAAGAAGTTCGAAGGATAAGCTGTCTTTGAGCTTCCATTTTGCCGTTTTCCAAACATTTGGCCAAGAAACGACTCAAACATGATTCATTCCAGCAGGTAATGTCTAAAATATGTCCAAGGTACATTTGATAGGTTATTTACACCAAGAAATTTCGGATAACAAGTCCCAAATCATTGCTAGTTCAAATCTGTCCAAATGTAAGGTATTCCTTCACCAGACCAGATTCGAGTTTTGATAATAAGTCACTCAATTCAACTCATAATTGAGCGTGGTTGGCGGCATTGGAAAATAGACTCATAAGGCTACATTTTCTCAGAAGAAACCATTTTCAAAATCAGTCCATAACCAGCTCGTTCGTGAGCATTAAGTTGCAGCTCATGAGCTGCCTTCCAGCAAGCAACGAAACAGGACAGTGGATTTCAAATGAATGGTTTGGCTAGCTCCAGTAGAACCAGGACATACATTTTATACCAACGGAAAGCTAGGAATTTCTAGTTTCTAGTGCCGCAAACGGCACTCGATTCCGATATCGGAGCAACAAGTTATGGCCGAAACAAGAAGACTGCCTGGGCAGTGACGGGATTCAAATTCCAGATTTTCAAGCTTTCGAATTTCCGACATTTGGGTGATCAAATCATGTTATTTTTCAATGAAACTTTTTACACAACCAATATAACATGTAAACAACATAAAAAAACCATTAGAATCTCAAAATTTGGCATTAAAGTGCTTGAACAAGGCAGGGGCAAAATGGTCACTTTTGGTCATTGCACCATCTTGGAGTTTCTAACAATAACCCAACATTATACCACTAATTTAAGCACTAAACCAACATAATTATCATCATCAACCACCAAATCAGTTCATCAACCAAAGTGGGAGTTCATAGAGCCCACACACCAAAATCCAACATAAATAAAGCTACCCACTTACATGCATGAGCTTATATGTGCAATAGAACTTCCATAAATCAAGATTTTAAGGCTGGATCGTCACTTACTTCACTAGATGTTCAAGGCAGAAATTTTCGGCCTTCTTGAGCCAAAGAAAAACCGTGAGAGCAGCCTCCTTTCCTAGCTCAAAGTGCTCTCCAAGTGATTAGTTAAGTGTAGTTAAATTTTGGTGTGATTTGGATAAGATTTGGTGAAGAAATGATGAAGGAAAATTGATGAAGCAAGTTTGGTTCTTGCTCTTTGAGATGCACGGCTGAAATGGAGGGAAAAGAAGAGATGTTGCACGCCACTTTAGTTGAGGAATTGAAGGGTTTTGATCTAGTGTGATGCACCCATGAGGAGCTCAATAATGTGTGGGTTTTGATCTAGTGTGATGCATCCATGAGGAGCTCAATAATGTGTGGCCCAAAATGCTCCAAAAGTCAACTAAGGATAGTGCGCGTATATGCGCGCTTCGTGCTCAATTCCTTTCGAGTTCGTTTCACTAGTGCCCTAAACCTCTAATGTACTTTCATTTACACTAATATTATTCATTCTTAATAATCTAAACTAATAGTCTAAAATTTCTCAATTAATCGCGCGCGTAAAAACGCGCATTTCCAAATTAAGCGCGATAACGCGAGACATCCAAGAAATTTTTATAACGATAGTACTAATGACTATCACTTGAGTATTTAAACATAAAATTACCTATTTTAAGACCATTGTACAAGTTTCCAATTTTTCAAACTTATTGTACCCTCGATCGATTAAAATTTCCACACATTTTCACTATTTTCAATAAACGAGTTTCCAAAAATTAATTTTTGAAACAAGTCACTTTAAAAATATAATGAAACTATAATTCCATGTATTTAGGTCTAATAAGGATAGAAAATAATATCCGGGGCCATTGGCCAAATAAAAAATAATTAAATAAGCTCGTAACAGGAGTTTAAAATAGGTAAATTTGTGAGTTCTTACATGAGTCGAGTATTAATTCCTCAATTAACTTTTCTTAATCTACTATTAATCATTCTTAATTCTCCAATATTAATACACTCCCGATTCAAGTATAGTCTCGAAAAACGTGCACTTGTTGTTTCAAACTAAACGAATTTTTTTGAAAAGTGAATTTTCCAACAAAACGCTTTAAAAACATAAAAGAGACGTTGTTCCATCTAAATGGATTTAAAATGGTCGAAATAAATAATTCGGAGAAAATGAGTGAATAATTATTTAAATAACCCGGTAATATTCTATAAAATTAAGAAAATTTTCGGGTCCTCACAACCCTAGGTTCGGATGTGAAATTTAAACATCCAAGTAAAGCAATTATCGAAAAATCCAAGCGTGCACAATGTACTTTGAAAATTTTTTTGCCGATGCAATTGACTTAATAAAATCAAATAAATTCTAAATGAAATCAATAAAATTGATTTGAAAATTGCAATGTACATATATATATATAAATGATAATGTGGGTCCTCACATATATATATTAAATGGCTTAGACAACTTTACTTTTGTTTGTGATGTACTTAAGTATGATGGACTGTTTATAGGTATAGTTGGTGAAATATTATCTTTCAAGTTAATGTGAGTGATTGAGTCCTGACGAGAGTTGCGTAGGCAGTTCGCTCAATCTTAGGGTCCGCCCTAGAGGGAGGTGAGGCCGTCACATTTATCATTTCCAACATTCATTTAGGTCGAGAGTAATAAAGTATGTTCAGTAAAATAGTAGCAATTGTTAATTTTCACTCTAAGCAGTTCAAGCATCAATAATCCAACAAATATTAGTCAACTAAGCACATAACATTTATCGTTCATCATAGATTCAATTATTACAAACAAATATAGAACACTCATTGAAATCAAGTGGGTTACACCTCAGTCTCGAGGTTGCTTTCATGCCCATTAGTAGTTCCTAAAACAAATTACAAGTACTATAGTTATGGTATAACTCTTGGAATAATTACTAAGTGCAGTTACTTCCATTCCCAAACCCGATTCTAAGTTGATTCTACCAAGTTTAATTGTTAAAAGAGCCCCAAAGTAGATATGTAACGTTCACTTTAGTATAATTTTAGTTAAGCTCAAGCACAATAATATTGTATAAAGTCTACCCAACAATTCAAGTTAAAACCAAAAATTAATTAAGGTTAAGGTTTAGTCTTAAAGGTGGAATAATTCTCCAAGTTCACTTATTCCATTTCCCTTGCACAAAGCCTTAATTTTTTTATTTAAATCAATTGAAAGCTCTCATGCAACTCTATGGCTAGTATGCTAGGCTTTTAAAATGCCAAATATACAACATACATGGCTAGATTAAGACAATAGATGATGCATAAAGGAAGTTTTAACTAAGTTCAACAAAACTCTTGGCAGGAAAATTGAAAATTTCCAGGTTTAGTGTTTCCTCCAACAATCAATCTTTTCTAGCTTTTAACTAGTGTTTAGTTTTTTCTCAACAGTAAGGTTTAGTCTCACAACTTTTCACTAGTGTCAAATATAAAATATACTATATATCATATAAGGCACGAGATAAAACATATATCATGCATTCCTAGTAAAATTTCTTCCAAGGTTTCGAATGAAAAGCTGTGACACTCAAGCTCTCTTCCTCTCGACCAACACAGAGAATTTTCCAGCAGATAATCAGTTTTTAAGCAGAGTTTTCCTTTAGGTTTTACACTGGTCCTTCTTTGTTTCAAGTTAAATACTGCATGCAAGACAAGGTAGAAGAACTAGGGTGTGTGTGTGTTGTATACAAATACAACTTAACAGATTTTGAGAGAAACAACCACAGCATTGCAGATGGACAACGTGTAGTAAGTTCAACAAAATATTTCCAACTTTGAGGAATCTTTCCTTAGTTAATTTCTCTTTTCTTGAGGGTAGTTCAAGTTAAGACATTATAGAACCAAGGTAGAAAGGAAATAAGGGAAATTTGTCAGGTTTTACCTCTTGTTTGCTCACAATGAAAGCTGGAAAATTGCATATTGTTTCACCTTTCTTCTTCCTTAGTTTCTCAAAGACAAAATGCTCCAATTTTGTCCCCTCAATGCGACTGCAAGAAGCTGTAATCTCTTCCTGATCACTCTCAATTCTCTCTCTTGTGTCGAAGCGATAAGAGGAAAATGGACTAACTCTCTCACTCACTCTCTCGGTTCCAGGATGGAAAAAAAAAAGAACCAGAAATGTGTTTGCTCTCTCAGTCAATAGTTAATTTTGTATGTCAAGAGACAAATGAGCTGGTGCAGGCTTGGTTTAGTAGTTGGACAAGTGTCCAACTCATGCCATGTGTCAAATACATGAAAAAACAAAAATTTAGACCTTGCACTTTCATTCCATCTCACTATTACCCCACTAGTTTCTTGTCTAATTCGTATTAAGTTTCCGTGAATGTGAATCATGTTTGAATTTAAAATATTCTAATACATTTAAGTATAAGGCAATCAATTAAACACTCCAAGTAGTCGATAAGCCAACAAGATTAAATGATCAAATTTTCTAATGATATTGTACACAATTAGGTATAAATTTTCGAGCTCTCACACTGAAGATGAAGAATACTTATAAAAATTTTAAGTTTGGAGACTAACTTTTGGATAAATTCACAAATATATGTAAAGAATCTCAATTTGACCCACAAAGAATTTTATATGGCAACATTATCTCTAATTTGTAATTTTTAAAGTAAGGTAATATTGATATTTTATGCATAGATTCTAAATCAAATTATGTCTTAATAGATATTTTTTTAAACTATGAGGAGGTTTCTTGACTTTCACTAAAGTCACAGGAGGGTTTTCCGTATTTTACTCTTGATTATTACATAGAGCTTATGGTAGTTGATGATATGATCCCAGTTCAATGTAAGCCTCTTGACCTCAATTCCTATTTTTATTCCAAAGTCTTCCTGTCCTACAGTTCAGTTTTTTTTGGTCCAAAGAGGGTTAGATCTTCATCTTTGAAATCTTTTGGGTTATTGCGACTTAACCCATTAATGTTTGGTGCTACTATCAATTTTCACCTTAACGCTACTTTTCAGTAACTTTATCCCCAAAACTAACAATCAAATTTAACCGAGTTTGTAATTCAAGTGAAAAGACATATTTAACTCTTAAAATTATTATCATTTTATGCCTATAAACTATAGTCTTATTATCAATTTACCCCATATAGTTATTTTTTATACAATTTATCCCACCATTTAACCAACTTAGCAAGTTAAAGAATTTTAGAAGAAAGTACCCTTCTCTTTGTATAATAAAAATAATAAAAAATTTAGAGTGGCTCTTCTCTGTTTTAGTATCAAGAAAAAAAGCCAAAACATTAATTTCTTTCTTCTTGGAAATTTTATTAATATTGAAAAAAATAGAAAGATAGGAGAGGGGAAGAGAGTGAGAGAGAGAGAGAGAGAGCTCAATTGTTTTTTTAAAATACAAATAAGAAAGAGTTCAATATTTTTATTTTTTAAAAAATTACTTTACTTTTCTATTTATCCCCAATTCCAATACTAATCTCGATGATGTTAAAGTAATATGATAATATTAGATTCATCCTTATTTTCTTTTTTTGCAAAATCTAATTTTCTATCTCCTTCTCTTCTATCTCTTTTTCTTTTCCTAGTACTAATAAGTGTGAAAAAGAAATTTTAGAAAATTTATTTCTATGTTTTTGAAACTCTTAGAGTGAAAAAAAGGAAGAATAACTATTCAAACTTTTTATTTTTAATTATATATAAAAAGTTAAATACATTAAAATTTTTTTGAAAATATTGGTTAGGTAAATGATGGGATGAAATGCTTAGAAAATAATGTTACGGAGTAAAGCAACTATATCACTATAATTTAAAGGGACAAAGTGATAATAACAATGTAGTAATGCTATAAAATAAAATAATACTTTTATCCAAAATTTGTTAACATGCTGAACCTATCAGGGTAAGATAAGCTCCGTTTGGATTGGTCTATTTTTCAAAAACTAGTTTTTCAAATACAATGCTACAATAATACACAAACAAAAACAATTCTAAAAACATCTTATCCATATAATATATCAAAAAAAACTTACAAATATACAAACAAAATATTTAAAAAATAAAATTTACAACATTTTCCATCTATGAAGAGTGAAGAGTGAAGGAGATGGAGAAGGAAAATGGAGGAAGAAAAGGAGGAAGAGGGAGAGGGAGGAGAAATGAAGAAGGACGGGATGGTGGCAGTTGTGGGTGATAATGTTAATTTTTAAAAAGCACTCTAAAAACTTTTTTAAT